TTCGCAATCTTTTATCCTATTTGCAATCATACGCCACGTACATTTTTTGTCAATCATACACCTTGTTTCGAAACGATCTTTGCTTGATTTGTTAACTTTTAGTTGATAGCCATCTTCCACACATTTCGTATACAAAGCTATCTTCAAGTCTTCCTTTGTATCAAAACAATCATCTTTCTTGATACGAATAACTTTTGTGTAACAATCAACTGCGTTATTTACCAACTCTTCTTCCGGTATCTGAAGTAATTCTGGCATATTCCAGTTATACTCCCGTGACATTTTCTTTTTTTTCTTTTCTTCGGGGAATTCTTCTCATTCTGTTTCTTCTTCAGGGTTATATGAATTACAGAATGGATGTTCAACATGTTCATTCACATTCGTAACTTCCTGCTCATTATCATCAACAACATCTTCTTCGGCAACGCCTGTTTTATCATCAAAATTCGGGTATTGACCAATATCAAAATCATTACACGCCGGGTTTGATTCTTCTTCTGAAACATCATCAAAATCCGAGTATTGACCAAGATCAAAGTCCGGGTATTGACCAAGATCAAATTTCGAATACTGACTAGTACTCACAATTTTTTCTGTTGGCTCATCATCGTCTAACTGGTCAATACAAAAACCGAAATTTGGTGCTGAAAGTTGATTGGGATTTGGATTAGGGAAAGGTTGTAGGTTTTGAGATTGTGTTTGATATTGTGTTTGGTATTGGAAATGTGGTGAAACAAAAATTTCTTGGTCATGAAATTGTGGTGGAACCATTAAATTTTGAGGTTGATAACAACGTTGTACATTGTGAGCACCATAAACTGGGGCTGAAGAACTTAGTTGATTACTACCCACTACTGACCCAACTTCACTACTTCTACTTCTAGGTTCAACAACATACAATGTAACATCATCTTGCGAAACTCTAATGTAAGCAATGAATCGTTCAACATCTTCATTATCGGATAACAAATAAACTTTACCTTTTCTCTGATAAGATAACCTAAATCCACTTAGGGGCTCTAAATTCAATTTCTTTGAAACACGTAACATTAGAGTTTCATAAGTTAACTTTTGTAAAGACAGTTTTAGTTGAAGATTCATAGGTAAAGGAATATATTGTAAAACACCATGAACATTCTCCCATGACCCTCCAAAACACAAATCTATCCAAACATGATCAACATTAGATGATTTCATGGTTGTAAATTAATTTACTAAACAGACGAGCTGCGAAACTAAAACCTATTGCCAGATGGGGAAGGATGTCGTTGGATATAGGAACGGATGTCGCCGGAGAGAGTGATAGATGGAGATGGAATGAGTTGCGATTTAGGGATTTAGTTTATGATTTGCTGCTGTTGCGTAGTTATATACCCAAAATTTAAGTGTTGCGATTTACAGATTCTCGTTGCGATTTACGGATTATCGTTGCGATTTTCAGATTATCGTTTCGATTTACAGATTCTCGTTGCGATAATCAGAATCGCGTTGCGATTTTACGTATTCTCGTTGCGATTTACGGATACGCGTTGCGATTTTACGTATTCTCGTTGCGATTTACGGATACGCGTTGCGATTTTACGGATACTCGTTGCGATAGTCAGAATCGCGTTGCGATTTATATGTTCGCGTTGCGATTTTCATATTCGCGTTGCGATTCTGGAAAATTGCAATGCAAATTTGTACTATCTCGTTGCGATTCTGGAAACTGATTTGCGATTCTGGGGATCGCGTTGCGAGTTTTATTTCGCATTGCGATTTTGTTGGTCATTTTGGCAAATCCAAAAAAAGTTGGTTAAAATCGTATATTATAAGGCATTTTTGGTCACTGAGGCGATTTTCTCATTTTTTAATTGCCACTTAAACATATCCGTTAAATGTTAGCATCGTGTGGCCATTTTGAACCCATTTAAATAGTTCAATGGTATATTTGTCACAATTTTGAAAATGATGATCATTTCACGACTTAACCTATAGTTATGTGGTCATTTATGTAGTTTATCCAAAATAATAATATAATACCTCTTATATATTTAAAAATTATAATAAAATTTTTTACCTTTTAATATTTTTTAATTAAATTCATATTTTACTAAATAAAAATAAAAAATTATACAAATATGATTTTATTAGATTAAATACAAAATTTTACTTCAAAATTTAAATTAAAATATAACCAAATTCCTAAACATAAATGGAAACAAGAACTCATTCCACGTCCATACTAAGAGAAACACACCATTATTCCATTAATAATACAATTTTTTTGTTACCCTCATTTCTAAGGATTCACCTTAATTAATCCGGACAAACATGTGTTGCACACTTAATTTTGATGGGTGAGTCTCCTAATAGAGATTTTTTTGCATGTATAAAAACTCGAACTCGAGATTTTACTTAGTAAAATTAAACTGCACATACAAATTCTTTTTTGGGATAGGAAAAAATGGCTATCATGCGACTTGAGTGTAGTCCCTCACTTAAAATAATTCCATCCAGATATGAACTCAATATCTTTTTATTCCCTCCCTACCCCTATGTTTTTAAAACCGGACCGGACATTGAACTGGTGAAGGTACTGATTCACTGATTCAATCGGGTTCAAACGCGGTTGAATATGATTTTATATAAAATATATATTTTTTAATTTTACATAATATTCAAAGCAATATTAATATATATATAACACTTTTTTTAAGTTTACAATATTAAAATGTATAAAAATATCACAAGTAATAACATATATAAATTAAAAACCATAAAATCAAGTGAAACAAAATGATTCAAATTAACTACAACATAATATTTAAGGTAAAACATATTAAATAATAAATATAATTATATAACTATAATCAAAAAAATAAAATTGGGGCTTAAAAAAATCATAAAAAATGATGTCATTTGGTTTATTTTTTTTTAAAAAAACAATCCCACATGGCTAAGAAACATAGAAGAGCATCCTAAAAGTTTAAAGAGTAAAAATATGAGAACAAAACAATCCCACATGACTAAGAAACATAGAAGAGCATTCCAACTTACTTCTATAAACATAGAAGAGCATTCCAACTTACTTCTATAAATAATAGAGGTAATTTGACATTCAAAATCATAGAGCCTTTTGGTGAGCATAGAGTGAACTATTCTTTCGCTTCAATTGAGCTCAAATTTTAGGCTTCAATCGAACTTCTAAATTTTTTTGAGTTCGAGCCTTTTTGAGTTCAAGTTTTAATATTATATTTCGAGTTCGAGTTGAACTTGATAATTTTTAGTTCGTGAGTTTTTGAGTCGAATTGAGCTTACTTTTAAAGTTTTTTGAGTTTGAGTCGAGCTAGGCAATACTCAAATTTGACTCGGCTTGTTGAACAAACGATGTCGTTTGGTTTAATTTTTTTTTAAAAGAAAAAAAGTGAACCGACGGTTCAAATCGGTTTTGCCGGTTTTCAGCCGGTTAACCCTGATTTTACCGGTTTTCGGCCAGTTCTACATGTTTTTAGCCGGTTCATTATCAGACTGATTTTGTGAGGTAACCGGACCGAACAGGCCACCGGTTCACGGTTCAACCGATTGAACCGACCGATCCGATCCAATTTTGATAACCATGCTACCCCATAAATATTTTTTTTTCACCCCCTTTTATTAATAATTTCCCTCGAATTTTTGGCTTTCCAATTACCCGCCGATTAATTCGCACGCTAGCCGCTAGGTGGTTCATTCGGTGGCCGAACCGACCGAACTACCATTTTCGAATTAATCGAACTTTTTTTTCTTTAACCGTTAACCGAACCGAATTTTTTTTCGAAAATATTAACCGAACCGAATAAATTTCGGTTAATTCGGTTAATTTTCGAATTAACCGAAAATTTTTAAAATTTTCTAATTTATATAAAAATTAAATATTTTATAATTCAAAAAAACAGTTATAATTAATTTAAATAATATATAATTATAAAATAAAAATTTTATATAAATTTTTTAATTAATTAATATTGATTTAAGTTTAAAAGTTATTGAATCTTAAATTATTAATTGGGTTTTAAATGGTTTGGGTTGAACCCATATGTTATATATAATAATATATATAATATTTTTTAATTAAAAAAACAGTTTACAATTAATTTAAATAATATATATAAATATAAAATATAAATTTTATATAAAATTTTAATTAATTAATATTGATTTAGGTTTAAAAGTTATTGGATCTTAAATTATTAATTGGATTTTAAATGGTTTGGGCTGAGCCCATATGTTATATATAATATATTTAATATTTAAAATTTTATTTTGATTAATTCGGTTAATTAACCGATTTCGAACCGAATTAACCGTTAACCGAATATTTAAAAAAACCTTAACCGTTTCCTGACCGAACTAATTCGGTGGCCGACCAAATTAACCGAATTAGTTCGGTTCGGTCGGTTAATTCGGTTAAAACCGAATTTTAAACACCCCTACTAGCCGCGGTCGAAAAATCCGGTGGTATAATTCCCCGAAGTTCTCTTTTCTACACGCCAGATTGGCTAAATCGCCATCAGGTAAGCTCTCATACACCTTTTAAAAAAAAAAACTGATTTCTGTTTGTTTCCCGAGAAAATAAAAGGAGATTAAATAAAGCAAAAAAAAAGTTTTCAATTCGAACTGTTCCCTGCTTATTGCTTTCAATTTCAATCAAACAGAGAGCATTGCTTTGAGCCGATCCTTGTTACTTTAACTAGAAACAGATCTTAAATCATTCTTAAACGAATTTAATGTTTGTCATTTACATTGATGTTCTTATTAATTCCTTTATATATATTCAATAGTGTTACCCTATTTAACTTTTTTAAGTTTTAAATTTGGCTAAATTAATGTTATTGAATTTTATTTATTTATTTAATAGAATTATAGATCTTAACTGTGTGTACTTTAATGAGGGGTGACCATTGTTGATAATGATTGCAGTTTTTGGGATGAAAGTAGTTATTATGTCTGCAATGAGTTATAGTTACTTATAATTCACTTAATATAAGTTAACTATTAATGTAATTTAAGATTGTTCATTGATGTTAAATTTTCATTATTTGGAAAGCTTATAATTTCATTGACTGCGACATATTTGTGGATGAAGGAGTTAGGGGTAGTTTGATTCAGCTTGTTGCGACCGGAGGCGTGTCGAAAAGAGAGAGAAAAGAAAAAAATGATGTCTGGGTGCCCCAGATGAGAATTGATGTTATTGACAGTGGGAGGAGGAGGGTTATTCTCTTCTTCAGCGACCGGGTATAGCAATGGCTTGACCCTTCTGCTCTTGGGTCAGAAGCATGAGGACAAGTCCATGAGACTTTCGCCGTGGAACCATTACCAGTTGGTAGACCGAGAACCCAATCCTGACCTCCAATTGACATCCACCAAGAACCGGCTTCCCCGCGGGTGCGCCTCTTTTGTCTACTTTCGTGGCACTTCCGCAGGGCTCTACACACCATCACATTTGAAAGTTGGCCCTGTTCAACAACAATACGTCTTGCCAGGCTCTTTTGATGCAAATAAGAGTAATGATCAAGCAAACGAGGTTTACAATGGCAATAGCAATGTAAGAAAGGTTGTTTTGAAAAGTTGTTTGAAGAAGCAATTGAGTAGTGCTCAAGTTTCTCTTGAGGATGTTAATGATTGTGAGGCATCAGGAGAAAAGTATGGTGATGTCCCAAGTCATACGGTACAAAGAAAGGTGCAGTGGAGTGATTCTTATGGTAGCGAGCTTGCCGAAATCAGGGAATTTGAGCCCAGGTACATGAAATTTCTGAATCCTGATCTAAATTGAAGTTGTGTAAGCAATTCAATTCAATTTTCAAACAAATTTTAAGTTTTTCTTTTTTCTATTTGTGTTTTTGTTAATGTGCCCCGTGTATATAATTAATCCCTTACTTCACACTAAGTTTATCACTCCTTTTTGTTTTCCGAACACTAATTATTTTAAGATGTTTTCTTATTATTAAACAGCATTTGTTATAAATCCACATACAATTAAAATTTGTCTCGATATTGCTATGGCATCCTTTGTAAAAATTTGTGCTATAGTTGAAATTTGATTTTGTGTTTGCTTTTATAGACTACGAAGATGTGAATAGGTACCAAATGCGTAGATGTGATGTTTGAGCATTAGCTCTCAAGATCTCAAGCATGATATATAGATGTGTGTGTGATTTGTTTGACAAAATGTTAGAAGTTGGGATGTGAATGCATAATTAGCATGCATCTATAGATTTTGTAAGGTGCTCAAGACTTTCTTTGATATTAATTTGAACTGTATTCATTTTCACAAGAAATTACTGCATAAATGGTAGATAGTGTATTAGGTTCACCCCAATGTTGGCTAAGCTTAGTGCAAAGTGAGGGACTAATTATATACTCTTCAACCCTAGACCCCGTGCAATTAATCTCAGTTGGCTAAGCTAGCTTCGGGTTCTTTCTCTAGATTATTGTTTAAGTGTGTTATTTAAGTTTTGTGGCGCTCTATAATGTTCTGTTGATGACTAGATTTTGTTTTTGTGTTGGCTGTTCTTAAGCGGGTTTTTGGTTGTTTTTTGTGGGGTTGGCCGTTTACGTGGTCTTTGCTTGGGAGCACTCTTTTTCCTCTATTTAGGGTTAGGGAGGTTTTTTAACGAGGTTCTGGGCAAAGCTTTTTATTCCCTAGCAATAAAATAATATTTCTTTTTTGTGCATACAATTTTATAATTCATATGTTTTCTGCATAAATTTTAACTAATAGGTAAGATACACATGGTATAAGTGCTAATAAAAATAATTCAACGAGTAACAATGTATAACATGTTTATCTGATTTGGTGGTTAATTATTCTTGACCTAGTTATGTGGTTGAACCTCTATTATCGTATGGTTAATTTTTTATATATTCTTATCATTTGTTTAGTTTTTTTTTTCACTCATTACTTGCTAATATCATATATTTATCTTATGTTAGTGAAACAAGTGATTTTGGAGACGAATTTAGTAATGGAGTTGAAAAAACTTGTGTATGTACAATTATGTAGTTCGGCTATTATTTCAAGTCCGAATGATGCCATCAAGTAAAATTGTTTGCTAATCGACCTTGATATTTATGTTGGAAATGCTGGGTTAATTTGTGGGCCAAGAATTAAGTTCTTTTTCTCGTTGATGATTATACTTTGAAAATAGAATGTAATCAATTGAGATTTTTTTTTGTTGGTCAGCTTAGCTGGACACATCTTTTGTGTCTATATTATATATTTAATTTGAGATTTCAATTTTGTCATCTTCGTTTTCTTTTTGTGTATCATGATTATAATTATTATTCTTAATTGCACGACTCTTTATTGTCCATATATACACAGAGAGAGAATTTCTTTAGAACTTCTGTAAGTTCCATGTGGTAGAACCATAATGTGCCATATAATAGTAATATTTTAGTTAAAAAAATGTTAAAATTTAACAGCTGAAGGGTTTATTCAAATTTTCGTTAACTTAATTGATTTAATTTCTTAGTTTGAAGGTTTAATTAGATAGGAAAATTTTAAAGACTTAATTTCTTATATTGAAGGTTTAATTAGATAAGAAAAATTTAATATAAAGATACTTAAAGTTCTTATGAAGTTCTCTAAAAGATATCATTTAGAGAAAAAACCCAACACATAATAACTCAAAAGCAGAAGAAATGTATATGTCGACTTCAGTCACGTATATTAAAATCCTAAACCCTCCGTTGTCATTATTGTTATCATCGTTATCTATTAGTTGTTTTAATAGAATATTGTTCCTCTCAATGTTTGATTCTAATTCCGTCATAAGCTGTTCCCAAACCGAAGGTTTTTCGACAAGACCCATGACAACGACTTTATCACCTCCTATCAAGCCAGTTCCTCCGTCGCCAATTTCTCCATCGACGTCGGCTTTCGTCGTAGTTATCAAAGATCGAAACATAACCACTTTGGAGTTTCACAGACAAATTCAATTCGATTGATTGGTTCGAGTTAAGTTCAACGGGGAAGATTAGGGATATTCACTTTTCGCTTTTAACCGAATTAATCGACCGAACCAAATTAGTTCGGTCGGAGAACGATTAATACTTTTTTTTAATATTCGGTTAACGGTTGATTCGGTTCTAAATCGGTTAATTAACCGAATTAACCAAAATTATTAAATATTATATTATATATATATATTATAAATATATTTTAAGCTAAAACCCATTAAAAATTAATACCCATAATTTTTATAATCACATTAGAGTCATTAAATTATCAATACATAATTAATTTTTAACTCAAATAAAAAATATACATCTATTATATTTAAAATAATATAATTTAAAAAATTATAAAAAAATAGGTTAATTCGGTTAACCGGCCGAAATAATCGAAGTTTGTTTGATTCGATTAATAGTTAAAAAAAAGTTCGGTTCGATTAACGGTTAAAGGATTTTTTTAGTTAAATCGGTTAATAATTATTCAGTTCAGTTGGTGGCCGAATTAACCATTTCAACGCCCCTAAGGATGCGTTTGATTCGTGGAATGTACCATTACCTCCGGGAATAGGATTACCGGAATGTAACATTACCTAACACATTACTGGGAATGTTGCATTGTTGTGTTTGGTTTGTTTAGCAGGAATGTAAGATTACAATGTTTGGTTAAAAGAATAAAACATTACTGAAATGTATATTTTACGAAATTATCCTTGTTATATATTTGTTTTTTAAACAAGTTGAATTCTAAATATTCAAAAGAAAATATTTGTATAAAATATAATAGAAAATATATATAATTTTATTATTTTTAATTTATATATTTTCATTAAAATTTTTAAATTCATAAAATTTATATAATTTTTTTACAAAATTTAAAAGATAAATTAGTTTAATGAAAGGGTTTAATTTTATTTTAACCCCTGAACTTCATATAAAATTCTAATTGTGGACTTTTGTTTTGTAAATCTAAAATAGTTAAGGATAAATTTGTAATTTACCCTTTGTATAATTTCTTTATTCAACGGGTAGAGAATGATATTTTTGAAAAAAATTGTTTTAAGGGAATTTTAGTCCAAAGTCATGGGAAAAGATTAATACCTAAGAAATTGGGGGAATGACATTTCCGGTAATAAGCCCCCCAAAATGCCATTGTTAAGAATGACTTATTAACTCTTTTTGAGAATCTTTGCAATCCAAACATGAGTATCACATTCTGAAAAAATATTTCCCCCGGTAATCATCTTTCCCCATCTAAATGCACCCTAAGAGATGGTTAATTTATATCAAACGTTATGCATGAGTTTGTTAACTATACCAAATTTCCATATTTCTTTAGATTTTTAATTAATAAAAAAAGTCTCGACAATATCATAATATAATTAGACTGTTTTAAACCATTTTTATTATAAATAAAGATAAAATCATATTGATTTGTTCAACCTTTTAAACCTTTTAAAATTTATAACTCATAAATAAATATCTTATAACTCAAAATAAAATAATCCCAATCGTAAACCCCAAACCCTAAATCATAAAGCTTAAATCTTAAACCTTAACCCTCAAAAGGAAAAATACTATTTTACTATGAGTTAAAGAAATATTTATTTATGGATTATAAATTTTAATTAAATCCGGTTATTTATTTATTTAAATATAATGGCTATAAATTGGCGTAAAACTTATTAGTTTTATATAATGTAAGTTAATCCTAACCATATATATTATGAATTTGCCTCCCAAAATTAAGTACCAAGATTCGTTGTTGATATATAAAAGTTATTTTTTTGCTTAATTATAAAGTAAGTGTCTAAATTATACCGTTTTTCTCAAATAGGTGCCCAATTTTTTTTGAATCATCCAGGTGCCTAACGTTACAAACGTTACCACTTTAGGTGTTTGGGTTATAATTGTAACACCCTAAATTTCGGGCAAATAGTTTCGGGTTTACCCGAGAGGTAAGTAGACCCCATGAATTTTATAATTAAAGTCGTTGGACTGAGTTAGGCTTAATTTTTGTTGGATTTGGGGCCCAATTAACCATAAAAAGGAGATTTTTAAATATGAGTCAAAATAAAAAGGACTAAAAGTGTGGGGTTTTATTTTTATTTGGACGTGGGTTTTTGATAGCAAAAAGTTATCTCTTCATTTTCTTTATTTCTTTTCTTCCCTCATTCTACAAGTTTGATCAAAAGGGAAGGTAAAATCATTGTTCTTCACTTCTTTATATTTCGAATTCGTCCTCGATCCTTCCTATAATCTACTTTGTATTAAAGGATTCTTACGGTTATTATTTGACTAGAGAAAAAGTGAAAAATCAACCAAGTTCAAAAAGAAAGAGCTTGCTAGCTAAAGGAGGTTAATTTCGGGATCTAAACATTAAGGTAGCGTATTCCTAATCTTTTTGGAGTATTAAGATTTGCTGATTTGAGCATTTTAGGTTTACCTTTGATTTATCAAGCAAATCATGTTTTAGGTGTTATTAATGTGTTTTTATGATACCTTAAGACCCTAAACAACTTACTAAAGCTTCAAAATAAAGTTTAGAAACCAAACCAAGTCATTTTGGATGATTTTAGTGATTTTTATAAACTATTTCAGGGTTCAAGTATTGATACTACCAAGGTGAATATCGATACTGCAAGGGAAGTATTAATACTCAGGGTGACAATATTGATACCGAGGCCCATTTTTCGCAACAGAATGCATTTTTGGTATCGATACTCATATGGGTATCGATACTTAACCCTAGGGTATCGTTATTGCAAGTAGAGTATCAATACTACTCACTTTGGATGGTTAGATTTGGCCAATTTAAGG